ACTCTGCCGCACCGCTACAAACGTTTGCAAGCCCTAGTATGTGGCAAGAATCCGTTGCAAGTGTTTACGAAGGCGGCCTGAAGAGGCATTGGGACTACGATGAACATCCCATGGTAAATCCAATGGCGAGGAGACTACGGTAAAGAACAAAGGTTGTGTGAGAATAGCATCCCGCGGGGGTTATTCTCAGCCTATTTGTACGACTTACAGTGCGGAATTGTCCTAGGAAAAGAGCGAAGCGGTTTTCATGGTTCTTTCCAATTACTTTTATATAACCCAGCCTATCTCGATTCTCGATTCAACTCACGAAAGCAATGTAAATAAAGACCACGGCAAGCAGGGGTCGGTGTAACATCTTGGAGTACTCAAAATGGGCGGGCCCATTCTTTTCAGCAAAAAAAAAGTGCTACTTTTTTTGAATACGTTTTTTGGGAGGTTTTGATTTCGCCACGACTTAGCATTCAGGGGGGCAACGAGATCATGGGTCACGGCGCTAGGGCGAAAGTCGATGTCGATTATCTCGACTTTGTATGGAGTGTTACGGGTTATGGAATCTTTTGAAATTTTTTTGACGATGGCACGTCATGCTATGAACATTGTTATGGTTACAAAGTGTATCTTATACCATATATGAAGCGAATGAAAACGCCAGCTGGCCTATATCTTACAGATCTTTTTTCGCCTTGTTGCATCATCTAGCGGCATGCATCTCAGTTTGAGCGGTGATTTCCTCGTAAAACCCCCAAAGATTTATATGAAAAAAGTCTAACCATTTTTTATACAGTTTCGTTAAGTAGTGTATTGTTTTGCCATCCCATTGCCCGAATTTGGATTTGCATGCTTTCCAAAACCCTTTGCTTAACCGTGCTCTGCGAGCCTTTCGTCTTGTCACTCACATCCGTCCCGACAAAAGCACCATGCGTGCTACGAAACTCGTAGTGCTTCAGAATCTCCCACATCCGCTGGACCTCTTCCGGCGGCAGAGGAATCATATTCGGGATACTCCACATAAACACAAACGAATTCATGCCCGGCGGCCTCTCGTTCTCCTTGGACAAGGCGTCAATACTCCAATCGCCCAACGCACTCGGCGTCGTCACCAGCGTATCGGCGATCAACAACCTCTCGTACGCCAAACACACCAAGCTACCCGGGAAGTGTCCCCCAAGCTTTATAGCCTTCACACCAGTTTTCTCGCCGTGGACCTCAATCTCCTCCTCGAGACTCTGGATGAACGTCCGCGCCTTCCCCAGCCGATCCAGCCGATTCAACCACTCCTTGTCCTCCCAGCTCATATACACAGGACAATCAAACGTCTCCGCCCAGTCCAAATGCGTCGTGTAGTAATGCGGATGGGAAATCACTATCGCAGCCAGCCCGCCCAAGCTATTAATCCACTCCACTGTCTCGCGGTCCAGGAACGTGATGCAATCCCACAAGACATTCCCCACGGGCGTCCGAATCAGGACCGCACGCTGTCCGATAGCCACCTTGGGCTCAGTCCAGATGGACCAGAAGCGCGGATCATCCTCGAACTGCCTGCGCTGGTTCTTGTAGCCTTCGCTGCTCTTCTTCATCGCGCCCAGCGTTGTGAATTTCTGGCCCGTCGGCGGCACGAATTGGCGCGGGTCGTCGCAGATTCGACACCGCGTTAGGAGCGCGACGTCCTCGGTGTCGAACTGCGTGCCGCACGCGGTGCAGATGAGGAGGTTCTCGGTGTTGGAGGCCATGCTGTTGGCGGGGGCCGTGGAGGAGTATGGATGGAGGGGATTCTCGAAGGCGTCGGAGATGGAGCCGGCGGTTCTGGAGGGGGACATGTAGGAGAGGTCGAAGGGAGAGGGGTGGTTGGACATTCTCTCTCTCTATCTTTCTCCTTTTTATAGACGCTCTCTCGCTCTCTATATATCTGTCTGGCTGGCTGGCTGGTTGGCTGGCTCTCAACTTCTTCAAACGTAATCTATTTTCGGGGATATAACGAGAGGATACGCCCTTCCTGATGGCTGCCCCGCCATGAATGAGAGGTTCCCGAGATTTGTTGCCGCCTCTTCCGTCTTGGATGAAGAGGGATTGGTTTGTCGTTTCTGATATGATGTGATGTGAGGTGGCCTTGGGAAGCAAAAGGTGGGGTTGGGGAGAGCTACCGTATCGTTTGCGTGTCACATATCAGCAATACAAGAGGCCTAAGGTCGCATGAAGTGTAGCTATCGGAAGGCTATCAGCTACCTATCTGATTCCGGGAAGTCCAGCCTGGAGCGGGGCCGATAGGGGCCGCTTATCGCAGGCTTAGATGGAACGATATTAACCCCTCACTCACTACTGCCCAGCTCCCTACGCCCTTCGTTACGCCGACCAGCTTAAACCTTTCCGTGTTGTGTATTATTTTCTCTTTTCATTATTTTTCTTATTTGATTTTACTTCCTTTTTGTCAGATACTGGCTTTCTCGTTGCCAGGAAAAGTCTCCAGTCATGGTCTACTTACTAGATTACTTCCAGCACCGGCGGGACTGGTACGTCTCTCTCCCCCTTGCCCCATCTTTCCCCCACCTTTTAAGCTAATCTCCTGGGGACCCTTCTGGAGCTCCCCGGAGATCTTAAAAATTGCCAGCTAAGATGCACAGAAAAAGTCCCGATGACGAAAAGACAAAAAAAGAAAGCTAACCACCTAAGTACCATCACAGCAAATTCAAACAAGCTGAGCGAGCACAGCGCATCAGTGCTCTGACGGCCTATCATGGAGCATTGTCGCCTGCACAACGCCAGATACTTCAGAAACCCGTAGAAGAGCTCGTGCAAGATGTCCACAAACACACCATCCAACCAATTGATATCCTCCGCACGTATGGCAAGGCCGCGATTAAAGTCCACGAGAAGACCAATTGTCTCACGGAAGTCATGATCGGTGCTGCGGAGGAGTGGCTGGCTGATGGGAGCATCAACATGAAAGGTCCCCTGGCAGGCATTCCCGTCAGTCTTAAGGACTCGGTTGTCGTCGGCGGGTTCGACGCCACGATAGGATATAGCAGCAATGTTGGGAACAAAGTACCCCAGGATGGAGCCATGGTGCGGTTACTCAAGGATGCGGGTGCCGTGCCGTATGTGAAGACCAATCTCCCCATCACGTTGTTGAGTTTCGAGTCGACGAATGACCTCTGGGGTCGCACCACGAACCCGCATAATGAAAAGTACTCGCCTGGTGGCTCTACAGGAGGTGAGGCCGCGTTGATGGCCGCGGGTGGTGGAAGGATTGGCATTGGAAGCGACGTTGCTGGGAGTGTCAGAGCACCAGCTCACTTCTCGGGAATCTACAGCTTGAGATGCTCAACGGGGCGTTGGCCGAAGAGTGGAGTCGTTACCAGCATGCCGGGCCAGGAGGGGATTCCTAGTGTGTTCAGTCCCATGGCTAGGACTCTGGGTGATCTCTCTTACTTCACGAAGGCTTTGATAGGCATGCAGCCGTGGAAGTATGACCATTCTGTCCACCCGCTCGAATGGCGGCAACATGTATACGATGCCTATTCGCAGAAGAAGAAATTCAAAGTAGGCGTCTTAAGGACCGATGGTGTTGTGGATCCCAGTCCAGCTTGTGCGAGAGCCTTGGATACAGTCGCTACAGCGCTGAGAGACGCAGGCCATGAAGTAGTGGACGTCACCCCTCCATCTCCTTACGAAGCCCTAGTTATTGCCTCTCTTCTACTCAACGCCGATGGTTGCAGAACTTTCAAGTCATTCTTCCGAACGGGCGAGTGGGAAGATAAGGGGGCAGAGCAGATGAGCTGGCTTATGAAGCTCCCAGGACCATTTAGATGGTTGTACTACCTCTGGGTTAAATACATCCGACGTGATGATATCTGGGCAGGTCTAGTTCGGGACTGGAGGGAGAAGTCCGCATTTGAGAACTGGCAGCTGGTTGTCAAGCGTGAAGCCTACAAGGCGAAATTCCATGCGTGGTGGAGGGATGAAGCCAAGATCGACTTTATGATCACGCCTCCAAATGCCACGCCAGCGGTGCCTCATGATGGCATGAAGCATGCCGTTAGCAGCTGTGGTTATACGTTCTTATTTAATCTCGTAAGCTCCACCTTCGTAATAAATAACCACAGATACTGATGATTCTCCTGAACAGCTCGACTACAGCACAGGGATCATCCCCATCACCCACGTCGACAAAGACCTCGACGCCCTCCCTTCTACCTTTTCCACCCGGAAACTCAACGGTGTAGCGCAGGGAGCATACAAGCTCTACGACGCAGCAGCGATGCACGGTCTCCCTGTAGCAATCCAGGTCGTGGGCCAGCGATTAGAGGAAGAGAAGGTGCTGGCTATAATGAAGAGGGTGGAGGATTCTCTCGGGGAGGATAAGTACGAGTTGATGGAGATTGATTAGATAGACGTTAGATAGAAAAGAAATCCCGTCTCTATTTGTATTGTCTGTATTGCCTCTTTTGTGCTGTACGGTGTAAATTGAATACCCCTTTTTGGTAGGCAGGAGATGTAATCAAGTGTGAATAGGGGACAAGTGTGATTGACCAAAGGGTTTCCTTTCTTTTGACATCATGAATTTCTTTCCGTCAGGTGTGGAAAGTGGAAATAAATCACTTGCTCTCTTATCCCCTTAGCCAGGGAAAACGGCCTACTCCTGGTGTGACAAGTATTATTTACATTTTTGACGACTCATTTGAATCATAAGAGACAATCTTAAACACTTTTGTTAATATTACTATTTACTATTTCGAGTGGGTCGTCAAAAACGAAAATAATAATTATCACGCAAAAGGTGAACCATTATCACCGGCCTTATAATGGGATAACCACGTGAAATAAACTAATATATTAAAGATTAGATGTTATGAAATAATTTATACGTGTATTAAAGCAAGTTTGCTTTTTGATCAAGAAAGGTGTAAGCATCTTTTCATATAGTATGTATACTCATAGGCCATTTTCAGTTGTTCTTGTTATAGATAGCGTATAAATTTAGATAAGTCCAGTTAATAAAAACCTCCGATATAGTGTAATGGTTAACATACTCCGCTTTCAAGTCTTTAATGACCCGGAGAGCTCCGGGTTCAATTCCCGTATGTATACATCAGTATTCAATTCCAAAGACTTAGTTCTAACAAAATATGTAGGGTATCGGAACATATTCACAATTTTTTTTTGGCGGGGTTGATCCCTTTTTTTAAATAAAAAGTTACCTTTCGTTGTGGAAAAGAGGGGTCTGTGTCAGCCGAAACCAGTATCTGCACGTGATTCACTGACAAAGTGAATAAGCTCATGAATCATAGACTCAATTGACCAATTGAGATTTTTTTTTTCATGAAAACTTATATTTCGTTGTGGAAAGGAGTGGATGCTAGACGAAATCAGTAGCTACACATGATTCACATGCCGAGTGAATAATTCATGAATCATGGACTTAATTGACCATTTGAAGTTTTAGTTCAAATACTAGAAGTAGATGCATTCGCATGGGAGTGAATTACCGAGTCGTCTGACATAAAAGCTCAGGTTCCCCGCCAAACCCTGTGATACCATAGCACACTTGCGTATCAACACACCGTACAGTTGCTTGGGGATACTCGAGGCTAATGGTCTCGACATTTATATGTTGTAGACGGCCGTAAAGAAGACAGATTGGAATCAAAAAGATTCCGGAAGACACAACATTACTCGGGAGCTATAGCAGGAGGGCATACTAAAGATCTGGTTTCGTCTAACAACAACCCCTCCTTTCCACAGCAAGAGTAAAAAAGGATCAAAATCGCAAAAAAGTATTGAATATATTCCGATACCCTACATATTTTGTTAGAACTAAGCTTTGGAATTGAAGTTACTGATGTATACATACGGGAATTGAACCCGGAGCTCTCCGGGTCATTAAAGACTTGAAAGCGGAGTATGTTAACCATTACACTATATCGGAAGTGTTTTGATTGACTGGGCTTATGTACATTTATTCGTTATTCGAATAGCAGAAACTGTCGGCGCTGTGGGCTAGTACCAGTATTCACCGGTCAACCGGACAGCCCCCTCAACGGGACACTTTATAGGTGCTTTAGGCTATATTTCGGCACTTGCTACAGGCTCACAGACGCTAAGAGGCCCTGGAAATGTACCCCTTAATCTCTTATTATTCACTGTAAATTGCTAAAATTGTCAGGGTTAGCCACACAGTACACAGAATAAAAGACAAACTGAATAAACGATATAAGGTATAACGTTACAGGTAAGTAAATAGTAAATTAATCAGTTACTACAATTTAGCTGTATAAAGCTAATTCATGAATAAGAATACAATACAAACTGAACTCTGGCCCTTTTCTGAAATTGAGGGCTTAAGGCTTCAGGCTATACAGTACTTTCGTATACTTTCGCTTGCCTTGACCTTCAAGCGAGTTATGGACGGTCTTGCTAATATCATAATATATACTGTAATTATAGTGCATTTCAGGCCTTATGAAGCCTAAAATGTAGTTAGTGATTACAGCACAATAATTAGGTGATATTAAGGGGTTTCAAGGGATATTACAGTGAATGGTGAGAAATTAGGGGTACATTTCCAGGCTGTCCGGTTGACTGGTGAATACTGGTATAGTGGGAATGGCCGAGAGCGCGAGTCAGTACAGTGGGCACGGCAATTAGATACGGTATGGCTACGATATAGCTGATGGTTAGAAAGTTACGCCTATAAATGCAGTGTACTCTATCTGTATTTAAGAGGTCAGAGATCAATCTGTTTTGTTATCTTGAAGCTTAGTTATCGAATATACGCTGTATCGTCGCATCTTGACCTTTCTTCACTCTGTACAACCAACACCTCTGACAGAAACACTGAAAGATGCACAACACATTATTTAGAATATGTTAAGAGTGCGGCCCCGTTTGGATTCGGTTACTCCGCTTTCAAGTCTTCAGTGACCCGGAGAGCTCCGGGTTCAATTCCCGGTATCGGAATATATTCAATACCTCTTTGCGATTTTGATCCTTTTTTAACGAAAAGTTCCTTCCGCTGCGGGAAGGAGGTTGTTAGGCGAAACCAGTATCTACACATGATTCATTTGCAAAGTGAATAACCTCGTGAATAACCTCGTGAATCATGGACTTAATTGGATCATGGACTTAATTGAATCATGGACTTAATTGATCAATTGAAGTTTTAGTTCAAATACTTAGAAGTAGATGCATTCGTATGAGAGTGAATTATTGAGTCCTCTGGGTATAAATATCTCAGATCTCTCCCTCTCTTCCTGAATTTTCTTTTTACTTTCAACCATGGAATACTTGCAGTTCGGACCTTCCGATGGCTGGAGCTGTGGATACTCAATTGTCAAGGCCAGAGATTCTTGCCCTACAAGACCAGTGACACAGCGTCCGATGATGTACTCACTAATCTTGAGCAATACTTGGAGGGCACGTTACGACTTCCTTTATTGCCATGGATGATGGAAGAGGTCAGTGGAGATAACTTGGATGAGTTGGGCATGCCTAGATGTGGCAGGTCTCACCCCCGCACCTCTTACACTTCCCTAAAAGAATGGTTAGTTGAATCTCCAATTGAGTACTGTCTCCTCTAAACCATTTTTCAGGCACATTCAAAACACCTTAGCACTGGTCACGGAAGTCTAGTACCAAAGGGAGGTTTTCAAGCAGATTTTCTCTAAATCTGTTCGACATGAAAGCATGCTTTCTAGACACCAGGTCCATGATAACATTTGGTATGCTAAGGTATACTTAAGGATATCTGGCGATTTGACAATGCCTAATATCCATACTGGAGCCACATTCAGGGTGACTCACGCCCAGGATGTTGATATGGATAGCACTTCGATCTCAGATAATGGAGAATTTAAGGTGTAGACCGTAGAGCTCCAAGATAACAAAGCCGCATTTGTCCTCGGACGGGAAGAAGAAAGGGATAAAGAGGTGCCCTATCAACAAGGTCTCAAACTTGACTGCACCTTAGATATGGTAAGTTCCTTATACACAGTCACCTTTTAACGCATTGTATATGTTAACTAGGATTAGGAGTACAATATGGAGCCGGAGAGGAGGCAATTCCGCGCCTTAGAAAGCCTCTCGAAACTCGAGAGAGGTTGGGTACGAGACTTACTTGCTGGCCACAATTACGATGTCTACGAAGAAAGCTTTCTTCTTGTAGACAAGATCCGTGACCTTACACTCCAAGAATTGGAGGCTTTGCGAAACATTCTCGACTCAAAGAGAATGAATTTTTTACAATGGAGGGCTTTCGACCTTTTCTTATTTAGCAGCAAAGCAGCGTCATGCTTGCAAGGCCCACCTGGGACGGGTAAATCCCATGTCATTTCCTTGTTGACGGTTATTGCCAATATTCTCGGCATTCCTGTCCTTGTCTGTGGACCGTCAAGAGCATCTGTCAAGGCTCTCAGTGTCAAGATTGTAGGTCTTATCGAAGAGTTAAAGTCAACGCATCCGCTCATCGCACCAAAACTAAGGCTCACCATCTTGCCCACTAAGAAGGAAAGCCAGAAAATGGCTTTAGCCGATCTACAGCAGATTGACGCTTCAGCTCTTGACGATGAAGATAGAGCTTCAGGATCATATCAGTGGTTTCGCCGTGCAATCGAATACGGTGAGACCAAATTCAATAAAGGTCCAGAGGGCGTCAACGATGCATACTGGAGAAAGATGACCGATTGGCATTGCAATCTTCAACACATGAGAGCGGGCCAAGTCTTATCCTTGCATGACTAGTGAATCTGGTGGAAGTTCCTTGAAACCTTTGTACAGGTTTTGAATGATGAAGCCACCGTGGTGGCTTCGGCGTGCAACAACATTGGCCGGCTAGAAAGCCCTGCTTTCAAAGATAGCTTGAAAGGCGGGCTTACAGTCGTTGATGAGGCAGCTTTCGACCAGGAGTATGGCATTGCTGTTTCGCTGGCCCTTCAAGCCAGGCATATCTTTATGGTTGGTGATCACCAACTACAACCCGTTATTGTCTCAGCACAAGCCAATCCTTCGGCGATATGGCTAGACAGACTCTCTTCGGGCGTAGCTTAAGCATCGGTGGAACTGATTCGGTAATGCTTAAGATCACTTATCGTCTCCACGAACGACTGGCAGATCTGCCAGGTGTTTTAAGCTACGGAGGTTTACTTTCTGCTCATGCAGCAACACATAGCGTCACCTGGAACAAATTTGCAAACTGGTTCGGTTCCAGCAAGTACGCCCATCTCCGTCGTAGCCCACCACCACGTGAAAGGGCAGTTCAGTCGGCAAAGGGAACAAAAGGGACTATCGCCGTATCTTCGTTAACTTGAGAGGCCGGTATGGAAAGACCATCGACTCTATGTTAACAGTCAACTACGTAGATATAAATGCTATCTGTGACTTTGTCCTTAGCATTCCTCCAAGTCCACCCAGAGCAAGTGGATAACGTTGTCGTCCAAGTCCCTTTCCGTGCACAGCTCAATATCTTGCAGGATCGGTTGAGACTACGAAACCCATCACAGTGGAATGTGAAAATCTGCACCATTGACTTTTTCCAAGGTGGTGAAAACGAAATTGTTTTGCTTTGACTTTCAGTCGCAAACGAAAATGATCCGGCTTTTATTGACTTTCTGAACAATTGGAATAGAGTCAATGTGGCAATCACCAGACCCAAGCAGGCGCTAGTGCTGTTTGGCAATTTAGACTTGTGGCGAACTCGATTTGGCTTCTTGTCCAACGAGTCCCCGAAATTTGCAAAGCTCATCCTGGACATTGTTGATCAGGGGATGTCTTCGATCTTGAGCACGTTAACCACTTCCTCCCAAAGAATGTCGTCAAGCTGGGGAGTGGGAATTAGTCAATGAAATATCCTCCTTCGCAGCCAAGAGCAATCCAGGTAAGAGTTCCAGACGCAATTCGGGTTCCTAGTAAACAGGATCCCCTCAAGCCACCGAGCTCTCCGTAATGAAGAACCTCAATAAAGAGAAGAGGTCTCACTACCTGATTACCGCCTTTCCTCCTCCTCATGTATTCCGTGATTTGGTAGAAGAGCTCAGGCAAGGTCAACGATCCATTGTGCTTAGAGCCCGATAAGACTATCATCGAGAAGTTGTA